TCATTGCTAATAAAGTAAAGATATAAATTTCCATACTCAGCACTGATATAATGACTGACATAGCATGGTCATGTTGATTATATGATAGCACTATGTGTACTACTAGGGCAGAAAGATCAAGAATCATTTTTATATCAAAATCGCAACTTGGTAGAGTGCAATTTTCAAATCACAAGAGCTGCAATTTGTATACTAGAATACTTTATCAACACTGTTGTTTAAAGTTTTAAATGGAGAAAATTTAACCTAACAACTGCCTGTAGATGAGTTAGACCAATTAGAAGCAACAGAACACCCATGTTCTGTATATGTGACATAACAACCATCACAAATAACTGGTAGTCTGACACCCTTAATGTGCAAGCTTCATGCCAGAAACGTGGATATTCTGGTCTTCTTGGCCAAAAACAGCCCTAGAAATTAATTTATAGAAAATAATTGCATTTAAATCTCAATCACAACACTGGTCATAAAAATTGCAGTTAGATATTTTCCCTACATCGTTCGGCCCTAGGTACTAGTAATTTGTTTCATGCTGTATTTAATCAGTAGGACACGAGAGGGAGTGTGTTATCGCGAAATAACATCACGGCTGTGATTTGTGATTTGTTCTTGATAACACACGACCTCGAGTGTTCTATTGCTTTTACACAAGTTAAATAAATAAAGTAAGAAATAAATAAATTGGGCCATGAACGTGGCATTTAATATGTTTTAATGTTAGCAGTTCCTTCCGCAAATGTATAGTTCCTTAACAAGCAGCTTGTTGGTACGTCAGAATAACAAACGCTGCTCACTCACTGCACAGTAGGCAGTAAGCCTCACCTTTTGAAGTACGGGCTGAGCCATAAAACTGCTGCAGTAACAAGTTTAGCTCAGTGTTGTCAGTTTTTGCTAGATCCATATTAATGTTGTTTTGTACCAGTCAGTTAGAACGCTTCTTAACCAATCAGCTTGCGTGGCCGGAATTAACTGTTGTATATTTTTTTTAACATTCATTCATCAGTTCCATTACACAAATTGCTTGCCAGTTTTGCAAAAACCTACGTGCATGTATGATAACATAGGCCAGTTCTGCGACAGCATATGTTCATGAAAGATTCCTCTGTCAGTTCCTGGGACTGACCGTCCCAGGCTCCAGTTGTGTAATGTGGGATATTACATAATAATGAAAATGGTTTTGCTTTATTGATAGTTTGTTTTTTTTACCTCCACTTATAGGCTTATGCATTTTTTGACGCTCCTGCTGGTCCTCACAGATTTTTTCACATTGATTACTTAACATTGCGACCCACATCACATACTGCCATTAGCACTTATTCACAAACACTGAGAGGTGGGAAGCATGTGGAGGAGTGATTCAGAAGATTTTAAGTGGCTTTGCCAGGGAGTGCTTGTTTACTCAAGTTAGTTGCAGTAAACTGCGACAAGAAAATGCAACAGCATAGTGTGTTGATTTAAGATTACACCTGTAGAGTTATGCAATGTGATTTAAGAATTGCATTTACTTAAAATTGCCTCTCCCTTTCTCTCTTAAAGGGAAAACTACCGATCCTAGTTTAGTAAGTAAGTTTAGTAATTGGGGTCAGGGCCTGCGCAATTGGGGTCAGGGTTTGTGGTGGCCCAAATACTTGATACAGTCCACAGTCTACAGATATAAACATTAGATAAACCAACAGCCTTAGAATGTTTACTGTTGACTAAATAAATCAAATAAATGAAGAAACTTTATCTCTTCTCAAGCCCCTCAAGTTTGATGCCATTATCCACTCATGGGATTTTGTGGTTGCATTCACATGGAATGTTTCAGGTGGTGTGGTTTACCTTAACACTTGGTGGGAAAAAAATTCCAATCTTACACAATATGATCAAATCTTATACAAAAATACAAACTTCTATGACACAATAGGATATCACACATTCATCAAGATAATTTTCAGAACAACAAACACATTTCCAGCTTTGCTTAAAGTGCTTATTATAAAGTATTGTTACTGAATTGAACTGTATTGAATTTCCAGGGGCTTTGCAAGACCATGATCCAACCCTTCCAGTCAGGCAACAATGCTAAAACACATTTGAACAGTGCCTGTGGAACAGCAGGTAGTGGGATTGTTTGCCACCCAGTTGCAGAGTTTGTGAACAACAGAATCACACCATTGCCATACCATAGCATTGGGACAAAACATATCAGCTAGATGGCTGTTTAAGTTGATCTAGTATTAGATTTGTCACTTAGTTTGATTTTAACCCCAAAACTGTTTCAATATACCCTTATTAAGTTCCCTTTGCCATTGAGGGAATTCCCAAATTATCTAAAGAGATGTTTGTTTAATGTATGCTTGTCAGAAGCTGACGATTTATTGCACATGAACAGTTGCAACTAACAATTTGTCTTTTGTTGTTCGTCCTATGGAACTATTAACGTACATGCCTAAAGTGGCCAGATGAGCTGATTAGCAGGTCCTTTGCTGTCAAAAGCGGTTTTGCTTTGCCTTTCTTCTAGATCTTTCCTTGATTTCCACAGATCCCCTTAACTGCCATTTCTTACTGACATTTCAGACAGTGAAAACTGGAAGCTTTTTAGAGCCTTCTCCTGGTTTGAAGTCATCAGTTAACTTCATTTTCAGATCCTTAGCCATCAACTCATGGTTGGTAAGAGTTAGCACAGGGTTTCAAGAGCCAGAGAATGTATCCTACTTTGGAATTATCATCAGCTAACAGTTCTTGACCTGCCAAAACACTCCTAACGAGTTGATTCAGGTATAATGAGTTAATAAAAGTTCAGAAACTTTACAATTGGAAGGGTTACCAAACATTTTCATGTCACAATTAATATTTTTTTTCTATGTTTAAGTTAATCCAATATAAAGTATATGTGCAGTAACAACTGCAGAAAAGTGTCATTCTTTGAAATAGTTTGCTTAGTTGTGTTTAACAATAGACAAAATATGCAATTTGGCCAGGGGTGCTCAAATCTTTGCATACAAAAGTATAATATATGTATTGGACATATGTACATACAGACAGAGATACTCAAGAATCAGGAACCACTCCAATATCTGTGAAACATTAGAATATTATTATAGATTAGCATACATCATAAAACATTAAACGTCTTACAGATTTCGGCGATTCCTGACCTCTGACTCACTCTGTATGCAGGTGCACATACATAATAATAATATGCCCCCCCCCCATATATATATATATATATATATATATGTATTGGAAGAAGATGATGCAGGAAACAAGGAAACATAGCACTTTAAGTGAATGCTCTTTTATTGAACACAACAGCAGACAGTAGTGGAGATCCACTATCTGAACAGCTGGGATAGCAGGCAGGTCACCTCGAACCATACAATTGTACTTGACAGTAGGCACTAACATTGCACCAACTACCCCACAGCCCCATCACAGAATAACCCAATGTGGCAATATGAGTACTTACATATAATAATCTGGATTTCCACACATACTGACATTATATAAAAACAAATGTGCATGTGTGTGCATAGTGTCTGTGTGTGTGAGAGAGATTTAGAGAGACAGAGAGAGGGAGAGAGACAGAAACAAAAAGAAAATCCCTAGTGCCGTTTTCTGGTTTCTGTGCCAGCTCCCCAAGGTGCCCGTTCTGTTGAGCAGCAGAGTACTGCAGTAACCTCCGCTGCCGCACAGTCGGGACTTCCCTGCTGACAGCAACAACAGTACACTCACACACTGTGTTTATGCATAGACCACCGGACTCTATTCACTGCTTAATTGACTGTATAAGGTCAAGTAACACACATGCAGACAGGTCCTAGCATTAAGACCTATTCATATACAGGTGTTAAACAGGATAACTTTGTACTGTTCTAATCATCTGCTACAAGTAGTGTCCAAATGTTCTGTGCCTCTAGAAGCTCTGTACTTCTAGGAATGCTATGCGTCTAGAAACTCTATACTTTTAAATGCTATGCGTCCAGAAACTCTATACTTTTAGAAGTACATAGCATCTAAAAGTATAGAGTTTCTAGGAATGCTATGCATCTAGAAACTCTATACTTTTAGATGCTATGTACTTCTAAAAGCTCTGTACTTCTGAAGATCTGTGCATTTAGAAGCTCTGTACCTTAAGAAGCTCTGTACCTCGAGAGCTAATGCTTTGAATTCAGTTCGTGAAGGCCTTGCTAATTAGCCAATGAGCTGGATCAGGTGTGTTAAATAAGTGTGCTGAAGTCTGCGGTGTTTTGGCCTGTGAGGACTGGACCCTGACACATGTGCTCTAAAAGCTCTGTACTTCTAATCAGCAATCAGTGTGACATACTCTAAGTATGAAACTTTGGGCACCTTTAATTCTTACTCTTATGCTTTAATTCTTATTTTTGCTCTTTCTGGATGATTTGTACGTGCTTCAGTGTCTTCTGAAAGTCAGAATTGCTAAATACTGTGGCATTGTAGATATGCTGTTCTGCATGCTAAAAAAGCCTTGATGGGCAATTTCCTTCCCAAGAGTGAGGTTAGTATGCTTAGCCACAGAGTAGCTTGTAGTAGGCTGAATAGCTTGACTTTAGAGGGCAATGCTGAAGCCTAATGACTAATGAAGGCTGCTTGTTCTGGAATTCCTTAGTTCCTCTCTTTAGCTCAAACTATTTGTGTGCTCTTGCTGTGCATGTAGATGGGGCAAAAGCACTGATGTTTCTGTCTCTCCCTCTTTTTGTTTTTGTCCTCTAACTCTCCCACTTCTACCTTATTTTCTCACTCTATCCCTTCTTTCTCAGGTTCTGTGAGCTGTTGTTTACGTACAGTGATATATGAATTTGGTGAATCAGTAAGATTCACAGGCCTTTCTGGACTTTTCTCTGTGCTTACAGCCTCACTGACAAGTTATTGCTAATGATAATTGCCATCTAGAGTGACCTTTGCCGCTGCAAAACAACCTTCTGCAAGGGAACTTTCCAGAGGTTTGCCTGAATGCAAGTCTAGTCTCTGGATATTCCCTTCCATAACCCTCTCTGCAAGATCCCCAGTCACCTTACCTCACTCCTCCACCAGCAGCCACCATTCGCCCCTCTCTCGCCACAGCGGTTCTCCCGTCCAGGCCCCGCTCCCACCAGGCGCCAGGCATGGCGCCCCAGGGGCGGGAGCACCTGGCTGCTCGGGAGCATCAGCAGGCTGGGCGTAGGCGTAGCCCTAACATGCGCCACACGTTAAGCCCGGAGAACCTGCGGAGTCTGTCCGAGCGAGGAGGGTCGGACCTGGTCGGTACCAGCTCTTCCCCGGGACTGCCCAGGGCCACGAGCGACACGGACCTGGTCAGCTCCCAAAGTCGCTCCTCCCTCACAGCCTCTACGTTGGAGTTCACCCTCGGCCGCGGGCAAAACCTGGTCATCTCTTGGGACATTAAGGAGGAGGTGGATGCCGCCGACTGGATCGGCCTCTACCATATAGGTGAGCATTTGAGCATTTTGATTGATTCTTCCTTCTTCCAAGAGCAAATATTGCAAAGTACCAAATTAACACTTTTTATCACGAAGCATGTCTTGCAAAAATCTGACCAAACTGAAATATCACCAAAGCATTTCTGGTCAACTCGACTAATGAGTGCAAATTTGCTAACTGCACAAAAATAGAGCAATCGGCACATTTCCTGAACTTGGTTTACGTGACCAGTTTTTAGCTAATCTTTTAACAACACTACACTGTTTTGGCTGGCCTTGGTTGCTCTGAACAGTGTAATGTTAACACTGCCCACCTAGGTTTTCAAAATGTTTTTTTATATCAGCATGTTTTTTTCCGTTTGTAATAACTTCGCATATTAAATAGAAAACTATTTTGCAATGACTGCAAAGCTACAACTAACAAAAAGCATTACACAGGAAATGATGGCAAAGCCCACATATTTTATCTGCTTGTTGAGATATCAGCACTCAAAGCTTTCAGATGTTTCATTTACCTTTGGCCTAAAAGATACATACACATACATATGAAGCTTGTTTCAGTTATTAACATACATTTTACCTCATATGTTGCAGTTTTACTGCAGTTTCAAGAGTCCTGGCATACCTAGAGGAAAACATGTCTTTCTTAAGATTGAGGTACAATACAGTATTAATGAAGGATAACTGATTTCTGAACTCTTTCTCCTAAACCCCCCTCAGGAGAAAAGACGAGATTAAAATCAGCATTTCATTGTTTTTTGCACTTCGTTTAATGGTGAGTTAATGGTGTTCGTTTAATGGTGAATTAAGGTTCTCATTACTCAGCTTGAATTAACAATGTGGTTACTCAACATGGTGCAACGGTGTAGCCCCTTCGGGGTTCAACTTAAGTTTTTATCTGATAGGAAGCTATTCTGTGCCACAGTATTGATCGGCTCTGTGATCCTGGAGCCTCAGGAGTTTATGCTGAAACTTTAGCCTTTCAGTCGTACTCAAGGGAAGCCTGCATGTCCCTGAGCTGACAGTGCTACTACCTGATACCATTCATGCATCTTGCTTTGCTGGTGTAGGATTAATTGCACGCATCCAAAAAGGTTCAACTAATGCCTGATTTTTGTGATGGTAGAAATATGAGGAGGTTCCTGGCAGAGGCAACATAGGCAACTGCATGGGGTGACAACTTGCCAAGAGTGGACGCGGCACTCATGAAACCATACAGTGTGTGGGTGTCCTCCAGCCTCTGGGGTCCATGAACAAGCCCATGCGTCACATTTGATGTTTACCAGATCACCTCTTACCAAAGAGAAAAGGAAGAGGTCATTTAAAACGGACTCTGACATAACAAAAAAAAAATATGTAAAAAAAACTAATATTGTGAGTCAATTATTCATGTGAATTCATCAACTAATTATCAATTAATTGGGTTGAATGAGGCCTGTAGATCTTTAGAACTGTAACAATAAAATATTCTGACAAACTGAGGTACTGCTCAAAAGCTGAATTATCACCACAGCAAAAAAAGGCACTTAGTTTAAGCCTGTTTTTTCCTTCAATAAATAAAATGATTATTTAAGGCCTGTATTTTGTGTTGACTCAGGTTATCTTACTTTAAATTTTATTTAAAGATGCGAAACCATTAAGTGTGACAAATACAAAAAAACGAATCAGGAGAGGGCAAAATTTTTTGCACAGCACCGTACATGCTTGAGTCTTGCATAAAACATTATATTTCTCAAACTGAACTATATCAGGCAAAATTAGGCAAACTAAATTGTTAAACAGAGCTGTGACACCTTTTAGTTTTGCAACTAATGCTAACTAGACTAGTGTTTGCTAAAGAGCTATCTAGGTTAGCAATGTAGCTAGAACTCGGTTAAATAGCTGACTAACTGTATTACTGTGAAGAGAATGAGCCATAAAAATGAGCCAAAGGACTGAAGATTAAACAAATTATTTATTATTGTTTGCAGCAAACAGAATGTTTTGCTTCTGATGTTTATGATTTTATTTGAAACTTACATTTAAAACCACATATAGGGACCCCAACACAGAATTAGCCCCAGAATACCAGAGTATGCGTAGCAGAATCTGGCCTTTCACCTTCCTTGCCCTTAAACACTAGCATCCTAATCTCTAACCACGTGCAAAAATCTGAGAGCAGGAAAAGCGATCCTTCTGGGCACCTTGCCTCAGGCTATCGACCAGGAGGCCTCAGTACTTCATTACCTTCACAAGGGTTCCATCCCCTGGGTGCTCTACGTATCAACAGCTAAGCAGACATTCAATGATGGCGCAGACGTAAACTGTCTCTTAGCTCCTCATTAAGAGGGGGATCATGCAGGCCAGCGTGATTTACAAAGCCACACTCGTATTGTTTTGCAGGATCATAATTTGTCTTACGTATTGTGTGCTCTGTGCCCTCTCTGTTAGCTACTGTTGTTTTTTTTTTTGATAGCTTGTGTTGTTACTCTGTGATTGATTTTGCTTTTCTGCTCTATTCTTTTGTATTGTTGTTTGAGGCTAGGATATAAATAAATTGTTAGTAGTAAGAAAAAAAGATATGTGCATATATAATATATTGCTACATTCACTATCCATTTTATCAGCTCCATTTACTATATTTTGTAGTTTGTAGTTCTTCAATTACAGACTGTAGCCCTCTTTCACTCTGTTCTTCAAAGGTCAGGAACCCAACAGGACCACCACAGAGCAGGTATTATTTGGGTGGTGGATCATTCTTAACACTGCATTGACACTGATGTGGTGGTGGTGTGTTAGTGTGTGTTGCGCTGATATGAGTGGATCAGACACAGCAGTGCCGCCGGAGTATGCAGAGAAACAGATTGACTAATAAAATGGAAATGAAGCTAATAAATGGAAAATGAGTGTAGAAATGAAGTGGTTTTAATATTTTGGTTGATTGTTGTATATATGTCACATGCAAAAACACTGCTAGTAACATTAGGTTTGTAAGTGAAATAAAGTTACCACACCCTCTACAGGGATCAAGCCTAAATATGCCAAATTTGCACAAATTCTATTTATTTGTTGGGTTAACATATTGGGAAAAATAAACATAAAATATACAGCACCTGGACAAAGAAAACACACAGGTTCCCTACAACTCTCTCAGCTTAACAATGATTAAATCCATGGCACTATATTTAGATTCAAGATTTATATTCTAGTCCAGACATGGCCTCATCTATATACATCAATTAGTTAAATCAGAAATTATTAAGTGTTTCATCTATATCTGGCAAGAACTGGACCTCCCTGAAATAGACTTTTTCAGATATCTACAAATGGGGCATTTTCTTAAAAAAGAAAAAATACAAAATAAAATTACCATCTCCAGTAGAGCAGCACCTTATCCCTCCTGTTATGTTGTGGGTCAAATTGACATATTTCAAAGTTTAAAAATACAGGAAAAATATTTTTAAGTATTTTTTTGAAGCATTGTCTGCTGGGCTTAATTAGTGTAATGGACATGTAAATGAAAAATGACTAAGTAAACATGTTTTCAAGCCTCCTGCATGTTTGTATTACAAACATAATATATAGTTCTGTAGTCCTACCAACATTATGCATCTGCACTTTCTCAGAGGTTGAAAAGGAGACTCTGAAAGTCAACTAGATAACACACCTTGCAAGGTAATCTCAAATGTATAGCAAATTCTTAAATCAGTGGAGCCACATAACCCATTATACCTTAAACATAAGTGGAAAACTAAAATACAGAAGGAAATTTCCCATTTACTGTCGGCTTCCCACTTATGTGTAATGTTTAAGTTGACACAATCTCTAAAATTTTTCTACAAAAATTTTAGTGCACATTTTAATAGCACCTATTGCTAGATACTTTTGAACACAACATAAAACCAAGAGGACTGGCCCATCTTTGTCTAGTAGTTGCTGGAAGAATAGGATTTTGAAGAAACTGAATCAAACTTTCTTCATACTTTTTGGTCATATGCAAAAATTGAGGAAGATATCTACAATGCCCTAAACTCTGTCTTTGACATTCCAGTCCTTAAAGAGCCTTTAGTGTCATTGTTAGGAGTTGATCCCTAAAGTTTTGACAGTAAATGCCAGATTTACCTTCTCCAAATTTCTATTTGCTGCAGCTACTAGGGGTATAATTGTAAACTGGCTAAAACTACTGCCCCAACTTGTGAATCCTGGATATGTCGCCTAGTGGAATTCCATAATATGGAAAAAATAACTGATTTTCCATGGCCTGACTGCAAAGTGGTGAATCTTTCTGTGATTAAATAAACAATTAGTTAAAAAATATATTGTAGCATTTACCACTATTAAAGAAGGCACAGCTGGTGCACAAGTCGTTGTGCTTTGTAACAGGGCTGTAGCTGGCCACAGCCACGCCTTACACAAAGAGAACTTTGTCTAACAATTTGCTCTAAGCCTTGTTACGTCTGGTCTCCTCTGCCATCAGCATAGGACTGACTGATACTTCCTAATCTAATAGAACACAGCCAGTCTTAGCCAATGAGAATAATGACCTTGATTTTGTCCTGAGAAAAGTGCAGCACATTATCAGCACATCTGTATTCACTCTGCAAACTGGCTCTTTCTCTGAAGTAAGTCTTTTGTAGGAAGCTACCATTTGCCAGTCTGCTGTACTGCTTACATTAACGCAAGAAAGAAAGCAACTGACAGAAACAGAGCCAGTGCATGCTGTTCAGGCCACCAAAACTATAAACTCTGCTCCTAAACCATCACAAAGCTGGTCTAAAACAAAACCATCATCATCACAGTGACAGCTTATAATGGTTGGAGGTCATCTCTGTGTTCTGCAGGCCCTTTATTTGCTTACTGAAATATATACGAAACATCCTTATGTTTCCAGACTCTGTGTTGCTTCATTGAACTTTTGGAAACAGCCGTATGTACTGAAGGACCTACAGTTATGTGCAAAAGTCTGGATGCCTCAAATTACATGTTTTGTTGTTTGAAGTGATCAGTCCTCAACAGAGAACATATGTCTGCACACTTTAATGCACAATTACTGGTTATGTGCTGAATTTAAACATATTAAGGAAAAAAAATAACATGTAGCCTGTAAAAAAAAATTACATTTTATATTTTATGCTCATTTTAACAGTTTTAAATTGTTTATGCTGTAAAAACACCCGATTATTACCATCAGAGAGTTATGACTAAGGAAATCTGTTCCAGAGCATAGACAGTGTCCGCGGTGTTGGAATTTATGTTTTAAATTAGTTTTAATGTAATGAAAGGGTACAAGGAGTCATCTCGTGGGCAGAACATAGTGTGCTGTTCCAGACAGTATTATAATATTCAGCTGAAAATCTTTGAAATAAAGAATGGAGTCCCTCAGGGGTCTATACTAGGATCAGTTTTGTTTGCCTTACTGAAAATAGGTTGAACAGATGAAAATGCCACCTGCATGCAGCCAACAGAGTTACTGTTCTGCTCTTTCAGTTAAATGGGCCTGGTACAGTCTACAGTCTGCAGGTGCTTTTGACTGCACTCTGAAGTCATGTCTGAGTCACACTAGCGCTGAGTATTTGTAGAGTGCCAAGTTTTGTCTTCCTGGCTCAGGCAGTCAGAGTTTTTTCTGAAAAGTCTACCTTGTGTTAACTTAACAAGATTCCCAAGACCTTTGGAGGAAAGTTTTTGAATTTTTGATCTTTTCTTGATCTTTTCTTTCATGTTTATTGACAGTCATAATATTTTTAAAATTAAATTTTTGCTTATTTTTTTAAGTTTCTGCATTTCAAAATCATTAAGAAAAAGTAAATAATAAATAATTGTTCAATGTCGTTTGATGTGAAACGCTCCATTCTCGGGAAACTAAATGTAACTAAACTGAACTATAACTAATAACAAGAAGTTATTACATCAAACACTGCCTGATGTCTAAGATATTGTTTTATGACAGTTCTGAGATATGATTTTGACCTTAAAAATACACTAAATGTCCAGACATTTGCAGACACCTGCTTTCTTTTGAAATGAAGGGTATTAATAGGGAGTTCATCCCACTTTGCTGCAGTAACAGCCTTCTTTACACTAGATGTTGGAACATTGCTATGATGGTTTACTTGCATTCAGCCTATGTCTAACAGTCATACCTATGATGGATAATTAGTTCTGGATCAATCCAACTCATCCCAGATTTATTGGACGGAGCTCCATCACTCCAGAGAATGCAGTTCCATTGCTCCACTGCCCAATGTTGGGGGGGCTTTATACCCCTCTAGCCTATGCTTGGTATTGGGCATAGTGACCTTAGGCTCATGTGCAGCTGCTCCAGAGTCCTCTATCAGTAGAGAAAGTGTTAACTAATTTTCACTTAGAAAATCAACACAACATGGAATTTACCCAAACATTTACACACAACTGTATATTTCTAGTTCCTTAACTGTCCAGAATGTCTGGATACAATAAGCATTGTCATTATGCTTGGGCAAAATTAGCTTAGCAACTCCAGTCAGTGTGGAAACTAATGCTGATATACTTTTTCCCTCCTCTGATAGATGAGACCTGTCCATCAAACATGTGGGACTGCAAGAATCGTGGAGTGAATGGAACACAATGTGGTCAAATCGTCTGGAGGTTGGAGCCAGGGCCCTACTTTCTGGAAGGTCAGCATCACATTATGCTCATGAGCTGACTAACTAATGGTTGTTTTGGACGTGATTGTAACAGTCACAATTTGAGAATTAGCTTGGAAGCCGTGGATGAAATACTTAGCAGAAATGTATTTTGTTTAATGAGGTCCTTTAAGGAGACCTTCACAGAACAGATGCCTGTAGGCTACTAATAAGCACTAGCTCCTGTTTTTTCCCTTGCAGCGGAGACCAGGATCTGCTTCAAATACTATCATGGAGTGAGTGGAGCCTTGAGGGCAACAACACCCTGTATTACAGTCAAGAACCCTAGAGCTTCGGTAAGTAAATGTGTGTTTATGTTGCATGTGTGGGGTGTGCATTTCTGTTTATTAACTGCTGAGGGATGATAGTAGATTCATTTTAGATATATAGAATGTATGAAGCTGAAGTTCGCTTCTTTGAATTTTACGTTCCACCTTAAATTGTGCAGCAATCAGATGCAGAAATACTGCTGCACCATTTAAGGTGGAACGACAAATTCAAATATGAAGCTGGTGAATAACAAGTCAACTTCAGCCTCGTGGTGAATGTCGGGCTTGTTTTACCTGCAGAAGATGTTAAATTAAAAACAGAGAGAGCTCTGTTTCTTTTGTTTTTATATCATGAGGAAAATCTTCATTTCACCTGGTGAGTTTCTCCAGTAAGACTGGAATTTAAGTGCTGAGCAAGGGCTTATTGAGCTTCGCTTGTTTCTAGCTTATGGAGGCAAACTTGAACCTTAACGCTTCACTTGTCTTCAGAAATAAAAATAGCCAAGCATAAGCATAGCAAAGTAACAGTCACTTGGTGATGTTGCTGTATATCAAATTTACAGCAGGAAACGAATCCATTCACATGAGAAGTAACTGACTGTGTAGAGTCGTGTCTGCAGGCAGACGCTTCTCCATGCTTTTTCCACTTTGGGTCTTGAGTCTTTCTGAGTCATAAGGTCATAAGGTTGAGTCTCAAGTCGTCAAATTCGTGACTCGAGTCTGACTCGAGTCCAAGTCATATAACTAGAGTCCACACCTCTGGAGATGATAGTTCACCTGTTGCTGCAAATTTTGTGTTGGTCATCCTCGTAGTCCTTCATCAGTGGTCACAGGATGCTGCCCACAGGATGCTGTTGGTTGGTTATTTTTGGTTGATGCACTATTCTCAGTCCAGCAGCGACACTGAGGTGTTTAAAATCTCCAGCAACACTGCTGTGTCTGATCCACTTGTACCAGTGCAACATACACTAACAGGCCACCACCATGTCAATATCACTACATTGCTGAGAATGATCCACCACCCAAATAATACCTGCTCTGTGGGGGTCCCACAGAGAAACGGATGGTATATAAAATATATATAAAACTTCAATGTCATGCAAAAATTTTGTCATTTTTTACTTTTTTGCATAGTTAACCCTTTGTATTTTGTTAAAATTTCATCATGAATGGACGATGGTATTAAGAATTGTTACATTAACTTCCTTTACAAACTAAGAATGTTTTTCCATCTCCTGTAAAAAATATTGTTTTGGAGGTTTTGTCAAGACAGTGACTATATATCTTAACTGCACAGTAACAATAGAAGTGAAGGTTTAATTTTGTTTACACTGAGAACCATATAATGTTAGTAATAATCATTAACATGTGCCGACCATGCATTTCATTAAATAGCAGTGTTTAATGCAGAAGCATGTGCTTTGTAAATTGTTTTTATCTGATTATGTGTTATGTCAGTGCCAAGCTACTGGAAATGAAAGGAAAAGTCTGTAACAACAATGAATGGGTAAAAAGTGAGCTGATTTGGTGAAACAAACTTAAAATATTGACAGTTGGTCAGTTTCCAGCAGTTAATTTATTCACTATGTGACATAAGTCACTTTCTGGCAAAATGGTCCTCACAAAAATTTTCATTCTAGTGATGGCCCGGGTGCCAGTATGTTCATGTGTTTGCACAAAGAGAAAAGCAAAACAAAGACTGAGACCGGGAGAAGAAGCTGGAGTGATACTGATTTCAGTGTTTGTTCTCAGGCTGACAGCCAAGGTGAAGGACAACTGGCTTCAGACAACAGCCGAAAATTGCTCAGCTTCACCCTATCAGGTTTGTTGTAAGAATACAGGTATAAAAGTTTAGACACCCCTGTGGTCAGAAGGAAAAGTTTGAACACCCCTATGGCCCTATAGCATTTCTTTTATTTTTACCTTTTCTCACATTTTAGAGCAATACTGAATACATAAAAGCTTTGAAATATGTACATATATACATATGAAATGCCAAAAAAACAGAGTCCTTGTTAGCTTCTGAAAGCTACTTGTTTGGGAAAGGATATAGGAAATACTGTTAGAAAAAACAGAAAAAGCAACATATGTTGTGTTTTGGATGCTGGCATGTATATCAACCAGCATGACCAGCTTGACCAGCACCAGACAAGTATAAATCAGCATGGAATGTATGTTGGTCTTTTTTTTTAACAGAACATTTAACAAAATTGTATTAAATAATTGTTTTTTGTTGGAAATAGCTTCAGTTTTACTAGGCTGACATTGCTAACAAGTAATGGAAGTTTGTGCCCACAAATTAATGTTATGCCTGCTTAATCACATATCTGCCTCACATATCATCACATATTTGCCTAAACCTTGTTGAACCCTTAAATAAAACAGCGTAACAGCCATCGTGAAGCCTAACATTAACAGCTGGGAAAACTTAGGATGTAGCTTAGGCTTAGAGTGAACTGTTAGACAAAATTCTCTTACGTATGGCATGGCTGTGGCCAGCTACAACTGTTTAAAGCACAACAGCTTGTGTGTAAGCAGTGTCGTCTTTAATACTGCTGAATGCTACATCTGGTGTCAGAAGTGGGCTCCTTAAGTCTAAAGATGAAAACCAGATGAATCCAGCCACTAGATCCAAACATTGATCCCCGTGTGGAACGGGGTATGAGTCTTTCTTGGTGACACCAAAAGTAGTGTTTTTTATGCTACTTTTTGACAAAAGTTAACATGCACACATTATTAAGCATGCTACACTAGGAATGGATATAAAATAAGTAGCCCAAAATATGTGCTCAGGAGTGCCAGGTCACTAATCTGCTACAAGTTTATTGATACACCTTGTGTTAAATAAATAGGATTGGTAGTTGGCTAACCTGTTAGATCTGTGCTGGTTAAAATGAAGCATTCAAAATTAAGTGCAGTTCAGACATTGCAGTGAAGAAAGATAATAAGATAATAAGATCTGTTATTCATGTAGATATCCGGGCTGTGGGCTTGAAGAAGGGAATGTTCTTTAACCCTGACCCTTACCTGAAGATGAGTATTCAACCGGGCAAAAGAAATGGCTTGCCCACCTTCTCCCACCATGGCCAAGAAAGAAGATCTGGCATTACAACCAACACAACAAACCCTGTGTGGCACGGAGAGGTGATACACAGAAGAATCATCTGCAAATGCACATATATTCACTAGTCTAGCTTACAAGTATTACCTTTGTAACTTTAAAATAACATATTAAATAAAAAACAACAAAAAAAAACTTTTTAGATCTTTTAATTGTCTTTTCAAAAAAATAAGAAACAACTGATGAAAGCCCTAAATTGGGAATAATACCAAAATCTAAGCATCCCCTTGTTGTTAACACTTACACACAAATCTTTCACTTTTTGATTTGTACTTTTAACAGTAGTTTAGAAGAAAGAAATATCACATCACGTTATTTAAGCAACACCTGTTCTTCATACCAAGAAAGACACTTTTATGAATGAACCAAATACCCAAAGTATTGAAAAATAAGTGTTTTATATTAAGGCTGACTTGGAGTACATGGTGAAACTTTGATGCATGTTGCGAGTTGCATGCAACGTAATTTCCGTGCAACTTGACAGTTACTAAAGTAATCCATTCCAATCCAACTTGGTACACTGTAGAGTTTTCACTATATAAAGTCATTTATTTACATGCATTTACGCATTAAGTTGAGACTGATGCAGCTGTTTCAGCTGAGTTTCAAGTCAGTTGCTGGACACTTTACATCATGCAATTTAGGGCAATTTAGTAAGCAACTAAAGTTGTGTTGTAAAGTTGTATGTAAAGCCAGCCTTTAAACCTTTGCAGGTGATTTTTCTTACTTGGTTAAAATTTAACTTTAATGATCAAACATTACTTGGAAAAATTAAAAGCAAACAAAGTGCTCCCTAACTTTTGATGAGCAGTGTAAAGCTATGCAATAGCATGCATGCCAAACACAAATGTGAATACACAACATTATAAACTTGCATACAAATGCATTCATATACTCTGACAGAACGTTTTATTATCTATTTTTCTTTTTAGAGACACACTTTTGTGGCACTGATGACTGACGTCCTAGTGATTGAGGTCAAGGATAAGTTTGCTAAAAGCCGACCAATCATCAAGCGCTTCCTGGGTCAGCTGAACGTCCCAATCCAGAGGCTGCTGGAACGGCAAGCATCAGGGTCAGTATCATGAAAACCTTGCTCACAGAATTTTTTTCCTTTTTAATTTTTTTTTCCCTAATTATTTTATCTAGGTCTGTATAGTACAATTTTCCCCTTACCCCAAATGTAGTCAAACAAGGAATGTTGCGTTTTATATTTTGCATAGCATCAAGTTTTTTGGAAACAGGATTGTATTATTGTTGTTGTTGTTGTTGTTGTTGTTGTTGTTGTTGTTGTTGTTGTCATTAAGGAGAATCAAAAAAGAGACAGATGTCCCCCATGCCCAGTTTAACTGTTATTTATTAATTATTTATTGTGCGTTTATCTGAGTCAGAGAATTCTGTTATTGGCACAGGCCCTCCGACACCCATTCCTTCATATCATTTTATCAACATGCTTGTATAGAAGAATGTTTAACACATAGTTGTGTCTGAATATGCATTTGTCACAGGAACCAGTCACTGACCTTCTCTCTGTGTCGTCGGTTGCCTACTGACCATGTAAGCGGTCAACTACAGTTTAAGGTGGACGTTACCTCTACTTACCAAGATGGTGAGACCACACACATGTACACACAGTAGAATACTAATCACTGAACAGCTTCCTCTGGAACCTTTAGAAATGTATTAAAAGTTGTTATTGTATATTTTGGTATGCTATTTCAGTGTTAATAAATAACATAATTAAATAAACTTGCTGTTAGAAGAACCCCAAAAATTTTTGTTGTTGTTGTTTTCAGATTTTTCCACCTTTTGGATATGGGGTGCTTAAGATTGTGTAAACATTTTATGATGAACAGACTGATATAAAAGCTTTTATTCATTTATTTATTTATATTTTTTTATTAAGTTACATTAGCAGATGTTAAGAACATTTTTACCATTGCCTACAAATATATCATTTCGGAGATAAAAGTTTTTTTTATGACAGCTAAAACAGTAATTTTAATGGTAATTATATGTACCTTAAATTTAAGATATTTTTCATTGGTTTTAATACTATGCAATTTACTACATTATTTGCTGAGGTTAACATATTGGAAAAACATAAATCACAAAATATAAAATGTGGCATGACTTTTGCACAGGCAAAAGTCTATGTTTTATGTTTTCCCCCAATACGTGAAATTCAGTAACTAAACAGTAATTGTTTATTGAAATGTGCTGTAAAGTGTTCTCTGCAGAGGATGTGTTAACCTATTTTCATTTTTGCACCTCACTGTAATTACAAAAAAATGCAATGTGCTTTTTGATTTACTTCTACAGGATAAACATGTAACTACTATTCTCTTTATTTTGCCATTTCAAGTTTCATAATTTGCCAAAAGCTTAGCTTTTGTCACATTGCACAAATTCTGATTTTCATTGTAAAAAGGCTAATCAAATTCCCATGTCACAGATGTCTCCCCGGAGTCAATCCTTGGTGCAACAGCCCTAAATGGACCTCCTGGTACCCCTTCAGATGACGAGGATTTGCCCCATCCTCTTCCGGTCACCTCCGGGGGTCCATCTCCAACTGGGTCTCAAAGTTCCCGCAGAAACGGGGAGGGGGGTAGCATCCCGTCGCCTGATACCGAGACTTGCTGCCCAACTTTGGATGATGAAGGTCCTCCTTCCCCTGACCTGCTTCAGAGTACCTTCAGCGAGCAGCTTGATGCAATTGAGGCTCCGAAAGATCCAGGAGAGCGGCCGTTAGGTGCAGCTTCTCCCAAGCTTCGCTCCAGCTTTCCTACCCACACCCGCCTCAGCGCCATGCTCCACATTGACTCGGACGAAGACGAGGAAAGGTCAGCCGGAACCGATCCCCCACCATCCTCTCTGAACGGAGTCCCGAGAGTCACCAGGGATCTGCTTGTGCTTCCCAAACCCCTTGATGAACCCAAGGAACCTGAACCAGAGGCACAGGGAGAAGAACCACCAGGGGAAGAGGAAGAGGAGGTCGGGGTGGAGTCAGAGGTGGAGACTCTGAGCTTAGGAACTGAAGTGATTCTGGAGCTGGAGGTTGTTCCCAGTTCTGTGGCCCCAGAAGTGGAGACAGCAAGTCTGTTGGAGAGGCAGGATGAAGGGGAGGAGGAGGGTCTGGGACCCAGTGAGGAGTTGGCGACTGAGATAGACATCTCGTCTATGGCATCTGACAGTGGCATGGTCCCTCCTGCCTCACAGGTAAGATGTCTGGGCATGATGATGGGGCAACAAAAGGCTGGTAAAGTTGTGTAATGCTAAAAATGGGCTCGGAAACACTTCTGAAAACCACTGTCTGTGAAAACAGTTTGTCTCTGCATCCACAAATGCAAGGTAAAACTCTAAAATGCAAAGAAGAAACTGTACATGAACAGGATCCAAGAATGCTGCCACCTTCTCTGGGCCCGAGCTCATTTAAAATAGACTGAGGTGAAGTGGAAAAATGTCCTGTGGTCTGACAAATCAACATTTGAAATTCTTTACGGAAATCATGGGCACTTTATCCTCCAGTTTGCTGTATCCTCCAGTTCAAAAGCCAGTATTCATAATGGTATAGGGGTGCATTAGTGCACATGGCATGGATGATGTGCGCATCTGTGAAGGCACCATTAATGCTGAACGATATATATATACATGTTTTGGCAACATATGCTGCCATCCAGACAACATCTTTTTCAGAGAAGGACTTGCTTATTTCAGCAAGACAATGTCAAACCACGTTCTGCACGTATTACAACAGCATGGCTCTGTATTAAGAGTCCAGGTGCTAAACTGATCTGCCTGCAGTCCAGACCTGTCACCTACTGAAAACATTTAGCACATTATGAAACGAAAAATATGACAAAAGAGGCCCCGAACTGTTGAACAGCTGAAATCTTATAACAAACAAGAATGAGAAAGCATTTCACTTTCAGAACTACAGCGATTGGTCTCCTCAGTTCCCAAAAGCTTACAGAGTTTGTTAAAAGAAGAGATGATGAAACACAGTGGTAAACATGCCCCTGTCCCAGCTTTTTTGGAACATGTTGTTGGCATCAAACTCGAAATGGGCATATATTTTTCAAAAAACTATTACATTTCTTGGTTTCAACTTTTGATATGTTGACTATGTTCAATGAAATATAGGGTTTAAATGATTTACACATCATTGAAATTTGTTTTTATTTACATTTTGCACAGTGTCAACTTTTTTGGAAATGGGGTTGTAAATTAGGATTATTTTTGATATGTAAAAAACATGTAAACATTATGATTAGACTGAAAAAAAACAAATATAAGAAAAATGGAAGATATGGGCCCTTTGAAAATTTTACTTGAGAGATAAATTTGTACATTTTGTGGATAACAGCATGCCATATAAATACCAAAAGTAGACCTGTAGTGCCTGTCCAGAAATTAAGAGGCAAACTTCAGATTACAAGCATTTTTGGCTGAAGTTCGGGGTAAGTTGAAAATTGTATAAATGCAAATTTTCTATCATGCTTTAAATTAATAATGGTCACTTTCACTTTTTTCTTTACAGGAAGCACAACAGGGGGCAGAGACAGCTATAGATCCAGGGGGAGGAGACTTTTCAGTTGACCCACGCACAACCTGTGATGCTGCTGACAACGGAGGGGAACCTCCTCCAACTGATGATCTTGAACTGGACATACCACCGCCTGAACTATTAATCAATGAGGAAGATGAAGATGAGGTGGAGGAGGACACAATGTCCAGGAGGTGGAGCCTGGAAGCGACAGCAGGCGTGTCACAGGAGGAAGAGGAGGAGGAGGAGCTGCATTCAGGAGAGGGCGGGTCTGTGGATTCAGAGACTTTTGTTACAGAGACAGACACAGAAACAGGTAACATCACTAAAACATTCAATATACAGTTATGAATTAATACCATCAGAGTCTGTAGACACCTGCTCATACGACGTTTCTTCTGAAATGAAGGGTACTAAAAGGGAATTTTTGATGTAGGTGTTGCTTCAGTGAAAACCTTTACACTTCTGGGAAGTTTTTACACTAGATGTTTGAACATTGCTGTGAGGATTTGATGGCATTCAGCCACATGAGCATTAGTGAGGTAAGGTCCTGATGATGGATGATCAGTTCCGGATCATTCCAACTCATTCCAAAGGTATTTGAAGGAGCTCCATCATTCCAGAGAACACAGATCCACTGCTCCACAGCCCAGTGCTGGGGCTTTATACCCCTCTAGCCCAGGCTTGGCATTGGGCATGCTGACTATAGGCTTATGTATGGCTGCTCTAGAGCATCCCATTCTGTTGGTCAGTGCTTTTCAATGAATATTATATAAGCTGCTTCTGTGCAATTGAATCTCAATTCACTAATTATAAGTGGTGTCTGGATACTTTTGGACGTATTACCCATGTATAAATCACTGGGATGATCTGGATTGTTTATCCTGCATCACTGGGTTGAGCGAGATTGTTTCTCCTGCTGACAAAATTTTTCTTTTTAATTCACCCCCTGGAGTTTTATTCATTTCACAGAATTGTTTGTGACAACTCTTTCTAGAACAGAAAGTAACACTGCAAGAAAATAAAAAAAAATGTGAAAGGATTTTTTGAACAGAAAACCCAATCTTAATCTGACAGCTTGATGCATTAAATTGAGCAGAGTGAAACCTCCCATGCTAATATTATCAGCAACAAAATAAACAATCAAGATTTTCAATTCACCACTCAGGAAAGAATATTGTAAAATAATGTATCACTATAATGATAAAAAAAGTCATATTGCCCACCCTTATTGAAAATCATGCTTATTATTATTCACTTTTTTATATGAACTGAATCGTGAACAGAATTTTGACACTGCAGCAGTTTTGAAATACCATCATAATTTTTACCATGAGATACATAGAGATTACAGTTACCGTCCAACTCTAATTCCGTCCCCTCAAACCTACACACATTTTATCTACCCACAGCTCAGTTATCTTTTTATGAAACAGAGTAGAAGAATAATAAAATAAAATTTGGATTTTAGGGGAAAATGGAGGGTTAAAAGAAAAAAATAAGAGTTATGCAAAAGATGGCCATCTGTAAGAAATGTAGTGTGCTCTTTATAGGCTGAAACTTGTGTATGAGGTTTGGTGCCTGTGCCTTGTAAATTCAAGTGCTTTTGTACAGAGGCATTTATGAAAAATGAAAACAGAATAGCAGATTTAGGTAGATGAGTGCTGTCATTTGAAATGTGGTTCTGTGCTGTAGGTCAAAAACTGAAACTTTCTACCAATTTGCTTCCAAAGATTTCTACTTTAGAAGAAATATGAGACAGAAAGGTACTTATGACTTTGAGATTTTATGCACTAAAAACAACTGCAATTCATTTTTTACATTACCTTTTTTCCAACCTCTCTTTATTCCTTAATTAATCAGGCTGTTATATAAATGTATATGCAAGACTGACATATGTAAATGATCTATGCTCTGATAATGGCTTATTCAAAAAGATCAGATCTCAGATGTCTGGATGGCTGTGGTTTGCTTCCCAACAGCCAGGAACAGTACAGCATTAAATTGTTTTCTGCACATCTTCCATTCCAATAAGACTGTGTGCAGTAACAACTAGGAGTGGGCAGAAATATTTTATCACAACACTTCGACATTTTCACAATACATGATATGCGTCACAATATTTTGTTTTTCTGAGATTTAATAAGTTGGAACTGACGAAATAGAATCTGTAGTGCACATTTAAAAAACACTATATAATGATTGATAGATAAATAAATAAATAAATAAAAATAATAAGGGATGCACCAGAACAGTTTTTTATGCACGATATCCACAATATGCTCAGAAAAGTGCATTGTGACATAATTTATCACAATACTGATAAAATCATATTGCCCACCCCTAGTAACAATACTCCACAACATGAATGGGCAGGCTAAATTGCTCTAAGGTGAATGGGCAGTTATATGTAAATGTCTTCATGATTGTGACATCACTGCTGTGGTGAAATCAAAACAGGCTGTGTTTGTAGTTTAGTTTCCATATTTGGACTATGGTGTGAGGAATGAAAAATACTATTACTACATAATAATAATAATAATAATAATAATAATAATAATAATAATAGTAGTAAAAAACTTTGTTTATATAGCACTTTTCTAAGACAGGGCTACAAAGTGCATAAATAATTATCTCTGAGTGCTGAAAAGACAAAAGCAGTCTGATCTTTGCAATATTTCTTAGTTGGAAAAAACAAATATGCACTGAAAATAGTATGTGAGAATCAAACCAACACCCAGGTTTCTAGGAAAAGCATTAACTCTTGATCTGAGTGAACCAAGAGCAACCAGCAAATCCCTCACAATGTTGTCAAGACCAACGACCAGTACCTTATTTCAAGAAAGCAAGAAAAAAAATCAGTTTTGCATGATATTGACCCTTATACCAGACATTGATCAAATTTTGGTCATCTGTCACCTCTCTTTGCATACAGTGGACACACAATGAGTAAACAATATTTTCCTAAAAATGCCCTCAAATATTAAATATGAAATTGTGCATTTGCACGTTTATTTTTGTTGGCAGTAAATAATTGTATGATGGTGAATGTGGTGTAGGTCACCTCCAGGTAAATGGACATCAGCAGGTTCGCTCACTTCCCTCCGTAAGACAAGATATCCATCGATACCAGCGTGTGGATGAGCCCTTACCTCCCAGTGAGTGTGTGTATGTGTTTATGTCCGTCAGCATGTGCATGTAGCATGTGTGTATGTGTACCTGTTTCTTTCTCTGTGAGTCCATGTATGTGTCTTTTCTTGACTCCATTTTCTAGTCCTAGATGCTTAATCACTGTAAGAAATTTAACAGATTGGCCACATAAGAATTATTTGTGAGCTGATGATCCCTACTCTAATACACTTTTTCATTCCATTCATACACTTTTCTTTCCAAATTTCTGTATAATTCAGTGGTTAAGATGTGAACAAGGTAGTTTATAGTGGTTTGATGTGAAATGGTGCATTGTAGAGAAATTTTGTGACTTGAAGCAAATTCTGTAAACCTTTCTTAATATTATAGATTTAAGAGCTTGATTACCTACATCAAAGTTGTAACTAATCAGTTTGAAGCAGAAGATCCCTCAAGCCTCACACACCACTAACCATCCCTCTTATTAAACCACTCAGACTGGGAGGCTCGTATTGACAGTCATGGACGTATCTTCTTTGTGGACCACGTGAACCGGACCACTACATGGCAGAGGCCCACAGGACCTCCCGCTCCGCAGGGTCTGACCCGCTCCAGCTCCATCCAGCAGATGGAACAGCTGAACCGCAGGTTAGAACATTACCATCATCAGTCTGTTATAGTCCACACCACTACATGCATAAATCAGTACTATTGAAGATAGAAGACAGAGCTTTAATGAGGCATAAAATTTGTCTGAACCAACAGCACATTGGCAATTTTCTGTTCCAGCCTGACTCAACAGAATTCTGTCTGAATTTGACTGTAGCCGACTGAATTCTGACTGAAACTGACTGTAGCCCACAAAATTGTATCTGATGCTGAATGCAGCTGCCAAATTCAGTCTGAAACTAACACTGACTGTAGCCCAACAAAATTCTGTCTGAAACTGATTGTGGCTTGACAGAATTTCATTCAACCCCTACCTAAAGTGGACCACCACAAACTGGAGACTGATTAACTATATTCCTAATAATAGTGCTTGTTTTATTCAGCGTTACAAAAATGTTAAGTAGGAATTAAATCCAGCTGTATGTAATGGCAATTTTGATTGGAAATCCTATAAATCAAGGGTTAATCTTTGACTTTTGCACAGCACTGTATACAGTCAAATATGGACATCCCTTCTATGAATAGATGTGTCCAAAGTTTTGACTGGTACTTTACATAAATAACTGGGCAGCACCATTTTGGAATTAGTTTTGAAGTATTCTTTCTCTAAAGACAAGCTGTTTGCTGTGCCCCTTTCTGCTAGGTATCAGAGCATCCGCAGAACGATGACCAGTGAGAGGTCCGAGGAGCAGGCCATAGACCTTCAACCTCTTGAGGACATGGACCTGCTGCCCCACTCCATCTCTGGTGAGCTACCAGACACACTACAGATTTATATTTTCAGTGTTAGGTTGAGCCAATTAACCACAAAGAATTTTTTTTTTTTCATGAACTACTTTTTGCCCATCTTTACCAGGTGGTGCAAGTAATGTTGTCTTGTGGAAAGGAAAATCGTCACTGTCAGGGCAATCTCCAAAATTTCTGTGTTTTCATTTTATCACATGAAAAATTTTTATGATGAATGGGCTAAGAGAAATGCTCAAAAAAACTTGGAATATTTTTTTTCTCCATCAGCTTACATTAAATATGAAGATTGTTTTTCCTTTCCCTTCACTATTATTCTTCTGGAAATAGAAGGTTTTGGTCTGACAGCAACAAAATGCTGATGGGGTGCTTGAATCGTATTCTACAGACCTTTCTAAGTGGTAAAGTGGCAAAGCTTTAACATCATTGGGGTTCTGCATGTGGCACCATACTGTATGTCCTTGGGCTAACACATCCTCCACAGTATAACTGTGTGTGTGTGTGTGTGTGTGTGTGTGTGTGTAGAGTATCGTAGGGACAGTTCAGTGGCCCACACCAACTCTCGCTCACGTCTGGCCCTGCTGCTTCAGTCTCCTGGCGCCAAGTTTCTCTCCAGTCCAGACTTCTTCACTGTGCTGCATTCCAACCCTGTGAGTAAAGGAAACACATAAATTGCTGTTCAAAGGTTTGGAATCAATTCTTAGGTCACTAATTGTTTTTACTAGGCCTGTGCCCAGTGATGGTTAACCTTGTTACCAGAGTAACAGCCCTCAGTGATGGTAAAAACTCATTTACCTGCAATTTATGACTATAATATGAAGCATTAGGTAGACACATTCTGTTTTGCCTTAGACCAAAGGTTCCCAACTGACCACAAAAGCTTCCACAGCCCACAAAATTTTACCAACTAGATCATTAAAAGTGCAAACAAATATAATACAATAATCAATATAGCCTGTAAAATTTGCTTGATTTTACAATATAAAGTACCACAATAAACACTAATAAATAACAAAACATTTTCTGTGACCTATTGAATTAGTGGATGTTGATTGGCAGCTACAAAATACTGGGTGACATGCTGAAGAAATGAAAGTTGCGAAAGGAAGTCTGGCTCAGTTCAATTGATTTAGATGCATATTTATTTAGGCTCCAATTGATGGTGTTATTTGTTTGGCTTCAGAGCTTTATTTAAAAAAAGACCTGAACATACAGCACAAAGAGGTAGTTATTCATTTTCTGTTCTCAGACATGATAAGGGATATTTGCGAAATGTGACCGTGACAGAATCTGTTTGTCTTTGAGTTTTCTCATATGATGCTAGCATCTCCAAAAGCAGCTCAAAGTGAGTAACAGACATTTGAGCTGTATCCAAAAGCTCTCATAAGGTTCCAGCTCCTGAATGATGTGGTGAAACTCTCTGTGCTCCTTTTCCTTTTTGTAAATGAAGATGCATAAGGGTACATGAGGAAAGATGCCCATCCAGTGTCATTGTTGCCCGTTTTGTGAAGAGCAAAGGAGATCTTTGTCCTCTAAAGACATGTTGCATGTTTGTTTTTGTCATGGCACAATAAGGCTCAGCACTCACTGATGTATTTTCTTCATTTTGGTTTATACTGGGCTTTCTCAGTCTTAGATACGGTGCCTTCTTCACTAGTACGTGGCCCAGCCTTGGGATCTTTCTTTTTAAAAGACCTCATTTGTAACCATTAATCCATGATGGATAAATTTAATCATTATGCTAACATAAAGATTAACAGTTAGTGTTCTCCTCCTAGTGTGTTGAGCTCCAGTTACACTGTGTTACCCTTCACCCTTCCCAACTTGGTGGCATCATGTGATGGAGTAAGCAAGCTAGCGAGTGGAATTAGTCATGACTAAATTGGTTAAAATTGAATGACAAAATTATAAGCTCTATTTATAGTTTTGTCATGATATTTTGAGATTTTTTGAGATCACCCTTTCTCAAATGAATAAAGATTAAATTTGAAGTGGAAGTTACACGGGTTACCCAGTAGTTTTGAATCATCCCCAACTTCTTGATTTAAAACTTATGTGGATTGCATATTATATTAGCATCGTTATAGAATATTGCAACAAAATTGATTTATACAGTGATATTGATGTTGATTCCAAACTTTTGAACAGTAGTGAACATACTAAATGTTTAGCAGTTGCTACAGCCATCCATTCCCAAGACAGTCCAAGAGAGCACAATTGGCCTTGCTGTCTCTGGGTGGGTAGGATGGCCCTCCCTCACCCCCATTACTTCGTGCAATACTAGCCAGCACAGGTGTGTGTTCGCTGATGTAACAGAGCTGGTGGTTAGTGTTCTCCTGCAAGTGTGTTTAGCTGTCCAATGATGTTGCGTTAGCTGCAGCTTGAAAAGATGCAGTGGCTGGCTTTTTATGACTTGGAGGAAGCTTGTGTTTGCCTAGTGCTAGTGTCATGTGAATGGGGGAGTCCTAACTAGTGGGTGGAATTGAATATGACTAAATTGGGGAAAAAACTGGAAGAAATTCCCCCCAAAGGTTTAGTATCTGAATAAAAAAAAAATCCAGTGTCTTGGCCACTGTAGGAAAAAAAAAATGCATTTTCCTAGCTTACAGGCCAGATTCAAACAGATTAATGCCTACTACTCAGTATTAAACCATAATCTATGCATTTTAATGGAAAATACCTTTTAGGGACAATTAACATTCAATCATTCAATCAAAAAACTACTTAGGCAGTTGTATTGTTAACTTACAGAACACAGCCTGTACATCACTGATGTTTCTAATAACCCTGTGTCTTCTGTGTTGTCTTCCAGAGTGCCTATCGCTTGTTTACAAGTAACACGTGTCTGAAGCACATGATTAGTAAGGTTCGGCGTGATGCGCAGCACTTTGAGCGCTACCAGCATAATCGAGACCTAGTCACATTCCTGAACCTTTTCGCCAACAAGCAGCTGGAGCTACCACGAGGATGGGAGATGAAGCACGACCACACTGGCAAGGTGTGTGATTCTGTATTTGTGCATCCCAGGCTGGAGTACTGTGGTTCTCTTACTGGCCACTTCATTAAATACACCTCCTTATGTCTACACTAATTGTCCATTTTATCAGCTCCATTACCATATAGGAGCACTTTATAGTTCTACAATTACAGACTGTAATCCATCTGTTTCTCTGCATACTTTGTTAGCTCCTTTGCATCCTGTTATTCAGTGGTCAGGATCTCCACAGGACCACCACAGACGGTTGTGCCGCTTTGGGTGGTAGATCATTCTCAGCACTGCAGCGAACTTGATGTGGTGGCGGCGGTGTGTTAGTGTGTGTTGCGCTGGAACAGACACAGCAATGCTGCTGGAACAGACACAGCAATGCTGCTGGATTTTTATGTTTGACTAACATAATGTGTGCATCAACAGATGAGCTATCATCTGCATATTATCAAACTAATATGCCACCACTACTGCAACAGTGTGACCACCCAAATACTACCTGCTTTGTGGGTGGTGGTCCTGTGGGGGTCCTGACCATTGAAGAACAGGGTGAAAGTGGACTGTAAAAACAGCGTGGTGGTTTTAATGAAATGGCCGGTTGGTGTATACTGTAAGAAAAAGAAAACGCATTCTTAATTTTAATATATTTTAAAGTTAGCTTTAGACCATTTATATCAGTCCATTCATCCTGAAATGTTCACAGAAACACAGTCCCGGCCACAGTCCTGAACCATCACTAGTTTACAGCCCTCTGAATGGTTTCCTTTAGTGTAATGTTAACAGAAGAAAGCTGAGCAAAACAGTCCAATCAAAACAAGCGTTACAGTAGCAGTACTCAGTAAACACCGGTTCATTAATTTTACTAATGTAAATCTAAAAGTCATCTGATAGTCATACCTTGATGTCTTTGGAAAATTTAATAATACTCAGTTTTATCAATACTACGCAGCACAACCCTAAATTAATAGCACTTAAGATGTTTTAGGCAACCAGTAGCAGAGTTTCCTAAAGTACAGTGTGGAATTTTAAGGTATTGAAGTAAGGACATCATTCCAAAGCACACTTAAGTGTCTTTAAGCATTCCTTGATGGTTCTGTATATGTGTCTATATGTGTTCTGTCTCACAGCCATTCTTTGTGGACCATAACTGCCGTGCCACGACGTTCATTGACCCACGGCTGCCCCTGCAGAGTTCCCGCTCCAGTGGCCTTTTGGCCCACCGTCAGCACCTTAGCCGCCAGAGGAGCCACAGTGCAGGAGAGGTACAGCGGGACAGCTTGTACTGTTCTTCACAACAATGTTCTGCTGACTGTAGAGCCGATGTCTGATTATTTCACACTCTTAAAGATGCCAAAAAAGCCATAGACGTACCATTTTTGGTTCCCAAAAAGAAATCTTTCAATGTATCAATAGATGGTCCTTCGAAGAACCACTTTTGTAAGTGTGAAAAACTTTTTTAAAGTTTAAAGAACCTCCACCAGTCAAAGGTGTAAACAGTTCCTGGAAACCTTATTTTTAAGAGTGAGCTTTTGTGTTTTTCAGGTTGTGGAAGAGTCACGTTCCCCTAGTCCCCCAATGCAGCCGCGACCCTCCAGCACCTTCAGCGGTTCCAGCCGCAGCCAATACCAAGAACTGGTGCCTGTGGGTACGTACACATGTACATCCCTCTCAACACTGTCGAAGCTATGGTCACATTACAAACTTTGATGTGTTTCTTCTTTTGCTCAGATCTGATTTTTCTACTTTAAGATGAATTTATGTTGACCCATATTGGTCCTTGGTGTGAACACATCTGTACCTTGAAATTACCTGAATGTGGATAAATAACGTTTTGATTTAATTTATACAATCTGTTTAAATACTATTAGCTGTATAGTGAAAGGTATTTTGTTTTTTTGTCAGTTTATATGCCTTGAGATTCGCAGATTCCAAATGGTTTACAGGCTTTGTAGCACCACAGTATATGTTCTGCACTGATTATGGCAGTTTGACAATAAAATTGTACTGCACGAATTGTCTGTAATTAAATAAAGTAATTAAATCAACTTACAGCCCTCCAACCATCTTGTGTTGTCCCACAATGTCCTGCAAAAGTAGTTGTTCTGTCCTGCGATTGAACAGTCGAGCAGATTTTATACTGAAGTTCTGACATACAGAACCACCCTGTGTTTCTGCAGCTTATAATGAGAAGATCGTGGCATTTCTGCGACAGCCCAACATCTTTGAGATCCTGCAGGAGAGGCAGCCAGAGCTTGTGAGAAACCATTCCCTCAAGTACGTTTCCCAGTCAAGCACACTTCTTTGATAACACCACTGAAAAATGAAATCTAGAATCAAATACTCATGTTTCCTCCAATAATACACAGTGCCAAGATCTTCTAAAAATGATGAATGTCATTTGCACTATGAGTGCACAGTTTTCCCCCTCAGCCCAAATGTAGCTGAATAACCAAGGCATGTTTGGTGTTTTAGGGTTGCTTCCTTAGTTTTGACTGGACCTATAAAGGGGAAACATTGGCACTCTTTCATCAAAGTTGTGTATGGTCAAATCTGATTGTAGATTGAACATACACAAATTTCACTGTCCGTTTTTGTTATTTATTAATTTCATCTTTGGTGGATCTGTTCAATTAAACTCACTCAAATCTGTGTAAATGTTAAACAGCCTGAAATGCTTGATTTGCTAATAATTTGTGCAGTACAAAAGTGGTTGTATTATTTTATATGCATGTTGGTACACACATGCTCAACTATTTTATGTTCCTTTTAAAGACATATTACACTGTGCTTTTGTTTTGTACTACTGACTCTGCCCACAAAGTAACCAATAAAAAACTCAGCTAGTGTCATACACTGCAATAATACAGTGTTCAAATATGTTATTTTACACTACACAATCAAATCATTCTACCGTTTAAAAAACACTGAAGACGTTTTGTTTGTTTTACATTTTATTCTTTCCAGTGTTTGTAATTTTAACATTGTAAAGTTTGACCAGCAGGGGCAGCAGCGTGTGCACTGCCTCACCTCAAACTCCACCTACGAGCAGAGCCATTGGCTCATGAGCTACTGAATGATATCATATTATTTGCTCCCTACAGAAACCTCTGCAAGAATTAGGGCAAGCTTTATGTAAATTGCATATAAATAAGGTGCTTTTATGTGGGCGCTTGATTTTAACGCACTGAAGCAAATTACACTCTAATCTCTGCTCATTTCATGAATCAGATGCAGTGAAGTTTGTATGTCATTAAAGGCGGTCAAACCTGCATTCTTTTTTTTTTACACAACCTTGTTTAATAAGGGCTGTTATATATATTTGAGTTTTCACCATCTATATCATTTGCGCTACTACAAATGTTGATGTTATTAAGACATTCTGTGACTGAACTCATTAAAGGGATTAGTGCAATTTCTCTTAAAAGGTGGAATTATTTAAAGGTGTTTATATGCGTTGGGTTGAATTTGCAGAGAGAAGGTCCAGTTTATTCGCAATGAAGGTGCATCTGGATTGGCCCGACTCTCCAGTGATGCAGATCTAGTCATGCTACTCAGGTCAGTGGGTGTGAATGTTGCATCCTGTTCTGATTGAGTTGTAGCTCTGCATGTGTGAACCCTAATGTTAAATTGAGTGTATTTACTCTACCTTTCAAAAGTTTGGAATTAATTTGTCATATTGATAACTTTTTTAATTGATACATTCAGTAATAACTTCTAATACAAAGGAGATTAAAATTTTGTAATCTATTCAGGGTAGGTGCTTTTAAATGTTATATCAAATCTCAGGAATTTTAGGAACGACAAGTAGCTAGTTTAAGAGACATACTTAACGAAACTGCACTTTCCTTTCCGGTTCACATTGCATGCAAAAGTTTGGGCGTCCCTGGACGAATTCCGTGTTTTGTCTATTTTTTAAGTAAAAAGAAGGTAACACATCCTCTGCAGAGAACACACATCTTCACATTTTAATGCATAATTCCTGCTTATACACTGAATTTAACATATTGGGGGAAAAAAATAAAACATAAAATGTGGCCTGTGTAAAAGTTATACTTTTTTAGATTTTCTATTTTACTTATTGCAACATATTAAACTTAGTAAATAGATAGTAAATAAATAGATATTGGGTACTAAAAAGGGGCCTAAGTCTGTTTCTCGTTGAGGATGTTTTAACTTATTTCCAGTTAGAAAATCAACCGAACAATAATTGGTCCAAGGTTGTCTACTCGCCATTGTATCGACCATCTGCAAAACTGTGAGATGGCATTTTGATATCTTTCCTTTTTCCTTTTTGCCTTTTTGCTGGTCAGTTTTGCGTCACATTGAGCAAATGTCCCGTCCCACTCCAATAACCACACCCACTCACCCGGTCTTCATACTTATACTGTTGCAGCTGCTGTTACACTTCTCTGCATGGACAGGACAATGTAAAACAGTGACCTAACGTCAGATATTGCAAATATTAAATTATCATATTAGTGACTGTTTTAGCAGCCTCTTTTATGTTGATGACTTTCTATGGGCTAATCAGACTGTATTTTGAGAAAGTTGGGCATATAGCTAACCTAACAGGTTCTATAATATATTGGGAGAAAGGCTTTGAATTTACTGAAGGACTCGACAGTCGTACTGTAACAAAAACATATGTTACTTGAATGTCTATTTTAATGCTGTAGTTGTATATGTTAAATCTAGAGAGTTGCTCTTAAAAGTGAATATAGGCCATGTTAGCTTGGTGCTAAAATGTTTAAATTCCCATATTTAGCTGCCACATGCTCATAGCTTGGTGACCATATCTGGCTTTCAGTGTAAACAAGCTTCAAAAGTGGCAGCAGCTAGTGTTGACATTATACAGTGACAACACACCCTACCCAGCCCCTTCTACTGAGACACCCAAGAGAGCAATCGTTATTAACATACAAAATCAGAAAATTACCTGTTCTTCACAAAGGAGCAAATGGCATCATGCAAAGATGTATTACACTCTTCACAATTGTTTTTCATAAATAAAATAAAAAGAAGAGTAAAATACGTCTATATTACTATATAACAATTTATCTGCCTGGTATTTTGATTACCACTTTTGATTACCACTTCTGTGGTATTCATAATATTAATTTTATTAACTCCATTCTTCATGCTAAAGAGATTTCTCAGCAGTTTTAGAATCAGCTACAGTCTATTATCAGCATTCTAGCAATACTGAACATTTTTGTTATAGCATCCTTCCTAATATTAGCAGCCTGAGCAAACTTTTGAAAGGTACACTATACATCCAAAAGTATGCAGACACAGCTTCTAATCAGCGAATTCAGCCATTTCAAGATGCACCCATTGCTGACCAATAGCATGGAATGCTCTGGAGCAGCAACACATGAGCCAAGGTCACCATGTCCAGTGGCAAGCAGTCAGAGGGGTAGAAAGCCCCCCAGCATTAGGCTGTGGAGCAGTGGAGCTGCGTTCTCTGGAGTGGTGGAGCTACATCCAATACCTTTGGGATGAGTTGGAGTGATCCAGAGCTGATCAGCCAACATTGGCACCTGACCTCACTAATGCTCATGTGGCTGAATGCAATCAAATTCTCTTGTTCCAACATCTAGCGTAAAGCCTTGCCAAAAGAGTAAAGACTGTTACTGCATCAAAGGGGTACAAACTCACCTTTAATACCATTAATTTCAGAAGAAATGCTGATGTCTACAGACTTTTGGACATACATTGTGTTGTGTGTTAGGGAGGAGGCCCCGTTTCAATACTTTCTTTAACATGCCCTTGCCAACTTTGACTCCACTGGGAAGTGCATCACACCATTTGTAGCCCAATGAGGGGTGGATTATTCAATTCAAACATGCTTACCTTTGGCTAGGTGGCCTCAGTGTACTATTCACCTAGCCATGAAAAATTTTGTAATGCAGAATTTTTAGAGTAGTCTGAACATTATGTGCATTTTGTGAATAATTTTGTCATTTTGTCTTGCTATAAGCTTTGGTTTAGACTTATGATGTGTTGCCTTGTTTTGATGTGGCTAACTGTGCTCCCTTTAACATGCTAACTAGCAAAATAAAGTTATCAGCAGTCATGATGGAGTAAATTGCTTTTTTAACCTATTCTGAAAATATCTAATTGAATGTTAAGGTTTTGAAATATTAAAGGTGCATTGTGTAAGATTTAGTGGCATCCAGTGGTGAGGTTGCAGATTTCAACCAACTCAATACCATGAAGAAACAAAACTAAATTGGGACAGGCGACAGCAGAAAACCTGACGGCCCCCCTTTCCAAGCATGAAGTAGGACCTAAGGGGGCCGTCAGGTTTTCTGCTGTCGCCTGTCCCAATTTAGTTTTGTTTCTTCATGTTATCACTTCTTTGCTGCTGATTCACCCTGTTTTGCTTTTTCTTGGGCTAAATAATAAGTACGATCCTCCATTTGTCAAAATTTGGGTTCTCAAACTTATCACAACACAAAATGGTTAGCCAGCACCAGCAGCAGCCACTGATATTTCTTTCTTTCTGCTATAGCACCACCAAATTCATGATAAAATTCAAAAGGCTTTCTCTAGCACTAGTGTTTGGTTTGTCTGTTTACTATTAGAACTGTAGAAACATAGCAGCACAACATTGTGACATCTTTTGGAAGAGGACCTGCTCTTGATATAGATGTGAAGGGCTCATTCTAAGCTAACAAAAACACAGTGATTTGTAGTTACAGGTGATTGTACACTAATGAAAACATGGTTTTGTATACTAAATTACTATATTATTTCTGCTAATACAGCCCCCTGAATCTTACACACTGCACCTTTAAACACTGATTTCTGCTGCTGAATTCAACTCCTTGTGCTTCTGAGGGCTCATCTAATAAACTTCACTTGAGTTAAGAAAGTAATAGAAGAGCCCCTAAGATGGAATCTAGCGTTCCTCTGAGGTGAAACTGTGTGGCAGGACAGACGAGGGCTTGTTAAAACTGGTATTGGAACGGATGGTGAACAGTAAGTATGTCTGATGGTGTCAGCTGGGAGAATCTTGTTGAGTGTGAATGCCAGGTTTGTCTGAATGTGCACGCCTGTTACATGGCCCCTCTCTTCTTGCAGTCTGTTCGAAGAGGAAGTGATGTCATACGTGCCGCCCCATGCCTTATTGCACACCAGCTACTGTCATGCCTCCCCACAAAGCTCCCCTGGTGAGCAGTCACATGAACCTTCTCTCTACCTTATTCCCCTATGTTTTTGTTTGATATTGTTTGAAGTTAAAGTGATAACTTGATTTTTCATCAAACTTTGTTTGGAGTGAGGGGTGTTTACATTAGATTTTTTGCTGAACTATTGCTTTAAAGCTTGATGTAATGCAGGGAAAGTGTGCAATCCTGGCATTTGTTTTGAAACCTGAACCCAATTGGTGCTAATGTGACTCTTTAAAACATGTAAATGAATATTTGAGATTATTTTGGCATGGTGGAGTATTCTTTAACTTTTTCATTCTTATCTTTCTCTTTCTCAAACTCACCCAAACAGGCACTTCTCGTGCAAACGCTCGTGCCCCTGCCCCATATAAACGTGACTTTGAGGCAAAGCTAAGAAACTTCTATCGCAAGCTAGAGACGAAAGGCTATGGACAGGGTCCAGGAAAAGTGAAGTAAGTAAAACAGTAATATTTTGGAATCCTACTAGTCCACAAGAAAGCTTTGAATAGTAAATGATAAAACATCATTGTTTATTATAAATTGGCAGTATTTTTTCACGCAAAATATCATGTATTTCCTCCTATTGGAAATAGTTCCTTGTAGAGACTCATATTTATTTACAGTGGTGGTAATAGGAACCAAGGGTCACCATCTCTACAGCACAAATATAGCCATTATATACACTATCACAAGCCACCAGTGATCCTACATGTGTCTTCTGAGTTTTTATGTGGAATGCTGATGAAGGTAAAATGATGGAAAAAAGCCTCCACAATGAATGGCTTTTAAATTATGTGTTTTAGGCCAAACTAATGTAAAACAGTGTCTCATGTAATAATTTCATGTAATAACTTCCTGTGAGGGAGCTTTTAGAGGTGGACGTCTGGTTCTTATAACCACCATTTTAAACAGTTCTGACTCGGTAAGTTTCTCTAGAATAGAGCATTTCACATCAAACCACTCTAAATGACTTGGTTTACATCTTAACCATTTATTTATGGTGAACTTGTGGAAGTGTAATTCCATATAACCCATCATAACCAGAAACATTTATACCCTATATCATGTTGTCCTGTAAAGGCTGCACCGTCTATAACTTGTTGTCCTTTTTCCAGACTGATCATTCGCAGAGATCACCTGCTGGAAGATGCCTTCAACCAGATCATGTGCTACTCCCGTAAGGACCTGCAGAGGAGCAAGCTTTATGTCAGCTTTGTTGGAGAGGAGGGGTGGGTTAACAGTGCCATGTACTGTATTTTACAAGGCCACTACTTTTAGTTGATGTACAGGGTTTTTATGGTTTTGAAAGTTTCATTAAATAGTCAGTAGTTTTCATTTTGTTTTTTTATTTGGTTTTTCATTTTGGTTTCTTAGTGTTATGGTAGATTTTTTCTTTAGAAACTGAGGTGTAAATCCAAATTGGACACCTAGGTTGCTCAAAGACATTTCCATCTCCTGGTTGATACAGAAGAAATCTACTTCTAGACCATTTATTTTATGCATATTTTACTATGCTTGAAATACTTAATTTTAAAGTTGTTTTCTTCTATTCTACATAATAATAATAATAATAATAATTATTATTATTATTATTATTATTATTATTATTATTATAAACAATCCTAAATGTAGGGGGTGCTGCAGCCCCACTTCCATCATGCCTGTTATCTCTTGACTATAGATAGATTAAGTTCTTTATACTCCAACTCCTTATATGCAGAACTCAATGAGAATTCAATAGATATGATATATCTAGATTATTCACAGAGTTGTCCTACTTCATGCAGTCTTGGTTTGCCAATCAGGTTGGACTACAGCGGCCCATCAAGGGAGTTCTTTTTCTTGGTGTCCCGAGAGCTCTTCAACCCATATTATGGACTCTTCGAGTACTCAGCTAACGACACCTACACTGTGCAGATCAGCCCAATGTCAGCCTTTGTGGACAACCATCACGAGTGGTGAGTCAACAGTAAACAAGAACACTGTTACTGTAAAGACAGTAGGAATGAGTTCTTGCTGTATATAAATTGGGTAACACTTTACATTAAGGGTCGCTAATCAATCATTAAATATATAATAATCAACTATTAGTTTCCCATTATTTAGTTATTAGTTAACTCTTCATTAAGCATTAGCTATTACTTAGTAATTGATTAAGCACTTATCAATTAGTAATTAAGTACACTATTAGTTGATAAGTTAGTTTGTCGTTAGTTTGTGGCTTACTTACTCATTATCTGTGTGCTAATTGCTGCTTATTACATTGTTAATTAACTAATAAGTATTTTTCTTCATATAAAGAAGTAATGTGATAACTTACTAGCACTTATGTGTTAATCCCGCTAATTATCTGTTAATTAACTTTCCATCACCTCCATATATTCAGTTGCTTCACTTTTCTCACTTTGGTTTATTAAAGATGCTTATGGTCACATCTGACCGTAAGATGAGGGCACACAAATTCATGGACGGTTTTGTTATTCATCACGTTCATCTTGGCATATCTGTACTCATATCTGGTAGGAGTGCATGTAAATTTGGGCATAAATGCTGGATATGTGGCTAATTAACTAAAACTATTATCAACATAATCTGTAATTGCAAAAATAACAACAACAATAGAAAATTTCAATAATACTAATTTGTGTGCATGACAGTCCAGTAAGGGCGGCACGGTGGCGCAGTGGGTAGCGCTGTCGCCTCACAGCAAGAATGACCTGGGTTCGATTCCCGGTTGGGTGACTAGGGTCATTTCTGTGTGGAGTTTGCCTGTTCTCCCTGTGTCTGCGTGGGTTTCCTCCGGGTACTCCGGTTTCCTCCCACAGTCCAAAGACATGCAGTTAGGCTGATTGGACATGCTGAATTGCCCCTAGGTGTGAGTGAGTGTGTGAATGTGTATGTCTGTCTGTCTGCCCTGCGATGGACTGGCGACCTGTCCAGGGTGTATCCTGCCTTCCGCCCAATGACAGCTGGGATAGGCTCCAGCACCCCACCGCGACCCAGAAGGATAAGCGGTTTAGATGATGGATGGATGGATGGATGGACAGTCCAGTACAAAAGTGGATGTACTTACTTTACATGCACATTGATATAAACAAGTGCTGCAACTATTTCATGTTCCATTTAAAGGCACATTACACTGTGCTTTTGTTGTCATACACTGCAATAATACAGCATTTATTTTAGGGAATTAATTACACTAAACAATCACTCTACTATGTTAACAACACAGAGTATTTAGTTTTATTTCACATTTTATTTTTTTCCAGTTGTTTTCATTTTAATACTATTCAGTTTGGTCTGCCTTTTTATTGGCTGGCTACTGAAACATCTGCATGAATTAGTGTGTGCTTCATGTAAATGATATGTAAATGAGGTGCTGGTAGGCTGCTTTCATGCACTGCAGCTGATTTATCATTTATGCTCAAATCTCCACTTGTTTCCACATCGTACAAAATTATGAATCAGACGCAGAGCAGTTCATACCGTATAAAAGGCAAAAAAAAAAGTGTTCTTTTTTTACGTAACTTTGATGATTAATGGCCATTAGATCTTAGATTAATGGGCCCTTTTCACAAGATTCGTGATTACTTCCGGTTTAAGCATTAGCAGGGTAAAACTCACTTCCTCTCCATATAGCTACTGCAGACGCGATGTCAAAATGTTTAGTTGTGAACTGTAACGCTCAAACACTGAGCTACAACAGCTGTATTTTAGTTTTCCTGCACGGTTATGTTGTTTTTACTGCAGTTCTGCTGCAGCTTCTTCACATCAAGCCGTCTCTGTGTCTTTGTACAACACGCCAGCGATTTCGGTAATATTCTGTTTACAAAAGAAAGAAGAACTTTTATATGTAGCATGAATGTTATAGACTTTGTTTATATTAAGCTAGATACTGGCTAGAAGCTACTGCTAACCAAACTAGCCCAAACTAGTTAACATGAAGCAGCTTTTTCAGATGTTTTTTTTTTTCAGCTAGGAATCGCATTTTTGACTGAGCAGTGAAAGGTGGATGTTTTCTGAAGTGCTGCTTCAAAAATTGCCATGAAACTATAAGAATAATGCTGTTTGGCAGATCGCTAACATAGCCAGCGTTAGAGCTAACTTAGCTTTAAAGTTTGATGCTCATACGAAGCTGGTGCTCGTCAAACTGCTAATGGTAGTCTAGCTAATTAGCGACTGTAGCCTGCTAGCCTACCGTAAGCTAATACAGTTTAAACGATGTGTATCAAATAGACTTTACATGTAAAAGTTTTTGTTTGTGTTTATGTCAGAAGTCACTGCCATCATGTAGCTAAATGTGTCACAGAACCTGCTCCACGTTAGCCGGCTGGTGGCAGCAGCTAATGAAAGCTAACTAGCTTCCTTATTTTGGGAACACAGCTACAGTTAGAAATGGCTTCTAGCGTTGCTAGCTAGCCACAGCTAAACAACGTCTACCAAATTCATACTACACAGAAGAACTTTAATTTCTTTTGAAAACAAAAATATTACAGAAATCGCTGGCATGTTGTACAACTACAGAGACACTGCTTGATGTGTGCAGCAGCAGTAAGCAGGGCTACACCACACACAGCATTTTAGCTGTGTTTACAGTTAAATCAGTGCTTCCATTCACTTCCTTTTGTCATGATAGTGCACAAAAACTAGTATATGTCTGTTGTAGCTCAGTATTTGAGCATTATAGTTCACTGCTAATGCTTAATCCGGACGTAATCGCGACTCTTTGTGAAAAGGGCCCATGGCCATTAGATCTTTACATTTTGACCATTAATTACTTTTTAAATTCCACTTAATCAACCATTCCTCTTACTTAATCATTAATTACTGCTTTTGTGTTGTCACTTTACTTGGAGGGACACAAAAGCAGTAATTAATGGTTAAGTAAGAGGAAGAAGTAATTAATGATTAAGTAAGAGGAATTTAAGAATCAATGAATGGTTGAATAAGTGGAATTTAAGAAGTGATTAATGGTCAAAATGTAAAGATCTAATGGCCATTAATCATCAAAGTTACGTAAAAAAAGAACACGTTTTTTTGCCTTTTATAAGATATGAACTGCTCTGTGTCTGATTCATAACAATTTTGTACGATGTGGAAACAAGTGGAGATTTGAGCATAAATGATAAATCAGCTTCAGGGCATTAAACCGGCCTACCAGCACCTCATTTACATATCATTTACATGAAGCACACACTAATTCATGCAGATGTTTCAGTAGCCAGCCAATAAAACGGCAGTGTTTGGCATGAAAGCTAATGGCCGTGCTCATGGGTGGAGTTTGATGTCCAGCAGTGAGTGCACTCCTCCCCTGCTGACCAAACTTAACAGTATTAAAATGAAAACAACTGGAAAAAATAAAATGTGAAATAAAACAAAATACTCTGTGTTGTTAACATAGTAGAGTGATTGTTTAGTGTAATTAATTCCCTAAAATAAACGCTGTATTATTGCAGTGTATGACTGAAGCTGTGTTTGTGAGTCTGTAGTATGAAACAAAAGCACAGTGTAATGTGTCTTTAAATGGAACATGAAATAGTTGCAGCACTTGTTTATATCAATGTGCATGTAAAGTAAGTACATCCACTTTTGTACTGGTGTGACGCGGCAACAGAATTCAGACGCTCGCGGATGAAAAAATGCAAACAAAGTTTTATTATCAGGTGACACAAGCGGGGTTGAAAAACAAGCGTGTGACTTGATCAAAAGGCAGCAGAAGATCACCGAAGTGATCATAACACAGGGCAGACAAAACCAAGGGGAAAGTCAAAATCGTCATCAAAAGGCAGGCAGAAAGGTCAAAAACACAAGTCCAATACAGAATCAGCAAAGGTACAAGGGGAGTAGGCAAAAATCAAGGTCGATATAACGAACGTGGGTCGAAAACAATCACTCATAAACAGATCAGAAAAAACGCTCAGTAAGTTCCGGAGAATCAATACCTCGCAAAGTATCCTAACTAAAGCCCGGGCTGATATACTATTCTAAGAGAGTCATATGATTCAAAACACAGCTGTTCTGAGTCAATATTCAGGTGATTGGGAACACTGACAAGTGTGTGAACTATTGTCATGGGTCATGTGATCACCCAAGGGATTATGGGCAATGGAGTTCGTTCTGGACCCCGAGAGAAGTTGCTCATCCACGTGATCTCCCAGGTCCTTCTGGGAAACGTAGTCCGAATCCGTTCGAGGCGTGACAGTACCCCCCCCCCCAAAGAGTCCGGGCAGATCTCGGATCGAGGTCTGCCAGGACGACCACCACGCGCCCCACCGGATCTCCAAAATGGGGAAGAACCAGAACCGCCGTGGCGCTGGACCGAGGAACCCTTTGGCTGAGACAATCCCAGACGAGTAGGCAGGGAGCAGGACAGCTGCTTCCGTGGACGACCTCTGGGACGTGGAGCGGGTTTCTGCGGGTAGCGACTGTGAAAGTCCGCTACGAGAGCTGGGTCTAATATGTCCTTAGCGGACACCCAGCATTGTTCTTCCGGTCCATACCCCTCCCAGTCCACCAGGTATTGCAGCTGTCCCCCACGTCTCCTGGAGTCCAGCAGCCTACGGACAGCATAGACCGGTGCCCCATCTATCATCTCCGGTGGGGGCGGTGTGATGTCCGGCAACACCTCGTCCAAGGGCCCTGTAATGGCAGGTTTTAGTAGAGACACATGAAAAGATCTCGACACTCTAAAGCGAGGGGGTAAGTCTAGTCTATAGGTAACATCATTAATACGTTTGACTACTCTAAAAGGCCCAATATATTTGGGCAATAATTTCTTGCAACTTCCCTCTGGAGGTCGGAAGTCCTTCGTGGACAGCCAGACTCTCTCCCCTGGCTGATAAACTGGGGTTGGTCCTCGGTGACGGTCTGCTTGTTCCTTGTTCTTCTGCAGTACGTTTTCGATACGCTGATGAGTCTGCTCCCATACTTGCTCGCTCCTCTTCATCCAGTCGTCGAC